TATTTTATCACTTTGAATACTGAAGTTCTTTACTGCTCAAAGAGAAGTAACAAAGAGAAGGTCTCTTTTGACTGCTGTGAAGTGTTCTAAAGGGGCATCTTCCCATTTCCTTTATAAAGAGCATATTGACCTAGATGAGGTGCTTTAATTTCTCCCTGGACCAACTATTTGCAGCATAGAGTTGATGGTTTGAGTATGACAAATGACCTCTGTGTTAGAATGGCTCCTTCACTTCCCTGTGAATTAGGATTTAAAAATGCATTTTCCTCTGGTGGAATGTACCTACTGCTGTAATTATCCATGGCTGAGGATAAGCAGTAGCAACTAAAGAAAACAATAAAGAGTTTTTACCTGCAATAGGAAGCAAATTGTGCATCCTCTACTCTTCTATGAAATCTTAATGAAATACTAGGTCCAGAGAAGCAGTGGATAGATCTGAAACAGCAAAGGTCACTGCATCTCCTTTTATTGCCTGGACTTCATGAATGTAAGAGAAAATGGACAGATTAATTCTTCAGCAGGCAGTACTACTGGAAAATTTTACCACCTGAACTATACCAAATCATACATGGAATGAATATGAAGTTGTTACAATTGCATTGTTTTCCATTTCAGTTGCATGCACGATGATAATTCCCTCCATAGAAAAATAGCTTACAAATAGTACCCTACATATCGAGTACAAAGCAAAATACACTTCTCATTTTGTGAAAACCCTTGTAGAGTGACAATGTAGTGTACAGATGAAGCACTCTGGGATTAAAGCATGAGATGACTGTGTCTTTGTCATTAGAACTATCATGCAGTGCATGAAATTCAGTGGTAGAAAAGGAGGTTGCAAATCTCTCCTAAAATCAGAAAAATGTTGAGAAATTTTTATATGTTTAGTATTTAAAAATTACCAGTATTTAATTGGAATGTACTTTATTCTTAGCAATTGTGAAGGGAAAGAAACTGTAAAATATGCAAAGAATTTTTTTTAAAAATTGTCTTCTTTCCAGCATCAGCATTAAATATCTACATTATTTAGAAAGCTGTTGTTCATATTATTGTAATTACAATCATCATGCTTTGCAGCTCCATGTTAGAATTCCATTACAGATGCATTGTGTAGCACATGATCTAGTTCTCTTTATAGAGTTCTTTCATAAATAGTATGATAATATGTAATCAAGTTGGATTTTTATTCAGAGGTGAATTTATATACTGTGTTTTGCTCTCTCTGTCACAGACAGTTGATGAAAAAAGAAACCAGATTAAAATAAAATAGAAGGGATACTTCATGTTAGTTTGGGTTTGTTGTGCGACTGACTTTACTCATGCCACTGTTCTTAGGAAAAGGAATTTGAAGGCTTCAAAACAGTTCCCAATTTAGGTCCTTAAATTTGAATATGTTTCATAGCAGTTTTGCTACATCAGTAACAAATATTCAGTGAATCAGAAATTTCCTCTAGAATTCTGCTGTAGGAGTGGGGCATTGGCATTGGGGCTTGAAAGGCAAACTGATGCTGATGCTTTTGCTTAGGGCTTAGGAGTTCTGGACTGTGATAGTGAGGCATAACTTCAGGTTAGGTTTAGCATTTGTTTAAATACCAAGAACAGTCTAGAGAAGTGTAGTAGAGAGAAGATACTGTTAAGTTTTGAGTGTACTTTGAAAAGTAACAATCCACAGCCTTCCAAGTGTCTTTGCACACATCATACTGCAAGCAACAGTTCGGAATGATTTTCCTATAGTACCAAATGGGGTATTATATCCATGTCCCAGTGAGACACTGAAACCAGTTAATGGTTTGAGGAAAGGGTATATTTACATACAGAAGCCATTATTTGAAATGTGCTGTAGTTTCTTTGCACACAGGAAATAGCAATGTTAAAATTGAGTTAATCTGACCAAATGTACTTTTTTTAGTCTCAGTTTAGGTGTATTTAGAATTCACTTCTGTAGTTCTGAAGTTCTGACATAGTTTACAAAAATAGTACTAATAAATATATATGTATGTTGTCCTGGATTTATGTATCATATTCACACAGGTGAATGCTGTTATATGGCTCCGTATTTCTCATATGGGACACTGATGGGTTGTCTGGGAAACAGTTTATAAACTGTAGGTAATGCTATTATTTTTATCTTTCAGAAGACTAACCGGGAGGAGCAACTTATTTACAGACTAATGAAGCAGTCTCAGGAGGAGCGGAGGATTGCTACTCAACTCATGCATGTTAGACATGAAAAAGAGGTGTTAAGGCAAAACAGAATTTTCAGGGAGAAACAGTATGAAGAAAGACGTCTGAAAGAGTTCCAGGAAGCTCTTGATAGAGAAGCGGTAAAAGATTGTTTGCTCCCTAAGCTGCTGCAGCACTGTTAGGATACCTTCATGTTACAAAATGGAATTTGTATTGTCTACTGTTAGAGTTTAGGACTTTTCTAAAATATTTAATCTATAAGTTTTATCTTTTATCCTTTTTTATATCTTTTATCTATAAATTGCGGCTAATGTGGGTGATGAGCAGTAAGCACGTAACTGCAACTGCGGAACTAATTGCATTTTGTAGTGTGTTAAAAGTTTAGGGGAATTATGCAGGGAGAAAAACAGCTCATCTAATCTGTCTGGTGGAAGGTGCCCACTGCCACTGCAGGGACTTGAACTAGATGGCCTTTAGAAGTCCCTTCCAAACCAAACTATTCTGTGGTTCTATGATCCTGTAAAAAGGGATAAAGCTGAACAACTTAAAGGATAATTTTGATCTTTTCTTCCAAACTAATTTTAACTTTTTAGGAAAAATCTCCATCTGTTGAGTTTAAAAGGCACAGTCCTGCAGAGTCAACAGGACAAAAGACAAGAACCTAAGATCTTGTTTCAAGAGTCATGTTTTTAATTTCCTTTAGACATAATCTGTTTACATTTTTGACAAATGCTAGAGTAGTTTTGCTCATGAGTGCTAATTTCTACCTTGAAGATTCAAGCTGATTAAAAGAACTCATAATTCCATGGAAAAGTGCCAAGTGCTATGTTCATAGTAGGCCATAGTGTGATGTTAGAAATTTTATTTTTCTCCTGTCAAAAACAATTAGCAACTCCAAATCCTCCAACACAGTTGGACTCCTGTGTAATCAACACTGTAGCTATTGATTGCATCATCTCTTTAAGTCTGCTTGCAGCCCAAAGGAGCGCACAATCACAGGAGCTACTGATAATTTTCTACTATGACCAGAAAACTTTTTCAAAGATTGAACCACATCAGTAATATAAAATTATTTGCAGATCTGAATCTTGTAAGATAAATTACTTGTCACGCATTCTAAATGACTTGTTCCACTGAAACCTGCAATTCTACTGCCCCTAAGCACTGAATGTATTCTTAATCTGTTTATCATGAAAGAAGTAATGTATTTCTCCTTTTTTAGTTATATTTTAGCAGTTAAAAAGCAAACAAACTGGAATTTATAGACTGAATAAACATCTAAAATTTGTTTGCATATTAATCTTGCTGGCTATCCAAGTCTGGTGAGAATTGAGTTGTTTTCATTTCTTGATTTAAATGAGCAAATTAATTTTAATTTCCAGGACTGTGCACCTCAATTTTCATTGCAGTCCTGAATTTACTCTTTTAAAATATTCTAGGCTCTTGCAAAACAAGAAAATGCTGATAATGAAGAACAAATAATCAAAGAAAGAGAATGTTATGAGAAAATTGCTGCTGAAAGAGCTCAGGAACGCTATAAAAAGCATTATTCTATATGCTGGGAAATGATCAGCCAAATCATTGATTTGTCAACCAAAGTAGGAGAATATCGTCAGCTGACAAACAAGTGAGTATGGTAGTTGTTAGGCAAAAATAACAGCCATTAGGTAGCTATTAGGCTGCATTATTCAGACTGGTTTAAGGACTGTAACAAATTATGTAGTTTCACAGGTATCTTGCATGACAGCTCCAATTAGTTTGTGTGGGAAAATGATGACATTAGTTTCATGTAAGGATTCACTGCTGTGTAATACAGGGTGAACTAATGCTACAGCCTTAGCATAATTTGTTGAAAACTCAGCTAACTTGTTTCTTTATGAGACAAAATCCACTAGTGCTACATCTGATGGAGCTACTGTTTTCTTTTCCTATGAACAAATTCTTTAGTTAAAAGTTTAAACCTGAATGGTGCTTGTCTCATTTTAGATTACTCCACTAGCTGAACACTTCTGCAGTGTAATATAAACAGAATTAATTTCCTAAGATTTATGAACCTGCCTGGACTGTCCAAAGAGTAGCAACTGAGCCCAAATTCTTCTGAGCCCTACATGCTGATTCCCTCTTCTGACATGCCCTAATTGCAAGGGTTTCTGAGAAGGTCCTCAAAAGGCACTAATCTCCAAGTGCCTGTGCTGTTAGAAGTGTTTCTTTACTGTTAGAAGTGTACAGCTTTGTTGCTGTAGTCCTCTCATTAGTATTCAGTGATTTGACTATGGGGTAAGACTTGCAGTATTGTAAAGTATGCCAAAATCTTCATTGCTTTTTAGTGTAATTGTATGTTACAATAGTAAGGGTGTAGACATAAGAAATACATATGATTCTGTTTTATGGAAATTACATAAATTTAGGCCCAGGAAGTGCAGGATAAAGTAGTCATCCTGGACACAGCTTAGTGGTGATGTGATGATTTTCTTGTCTGACACAATCAGTGTAAGTTCATGTCACATTTACTTGTACTAAGTGGTGCATGATATGTAACGGTAATTTAAACACTTTCCCAAGGTGTGCATTTCAAGGTTTTGCCTGGATTTACTGCCATTGCAAGTGTGCTTTGTCTCTCCTTGCATGCACTTCATTGTGCAGGACACATACAATTGCTATTCAATTGCTTTTTGACAGCACACGCTGAGTTTACAGCTGTAACACTCAACTATCTATTTCATTACTAAAAAAACAGGAATGTCCAAATTGATGTCATACTAAGAAATAGCAGAAACCTTCATTTTGACTATTTGTTAAATTTAAACTCCTCTTTATACAGTTCGTTTAAGTTATAGAATTCTAGTGTGACATATGTCATATGCCAGCATCCTGTTTACATTAAGCTTGCTACTACATGCAGTTTGTCTGCAGTTTCATATAATCCTAAAATTATTTTAGAATTACTAGATTAATTTTAACTTGTAGGAAAAAAAATCAATCGATTTTTGGCAAGAGGGTGCTTTACCCCACGAAAGGGAAGAATATTTTGGAGCAGGGAAAAATAACTATAGCAAAACTGTTACTACATCTCTGCCAGCCAAATGTTCTGTGATGACACATTTGTGAAGATACTGAAGCCTACTAGTGCCTACAGCTGTCATACAAGTAAACAAACATGAAAAGCTGTAATAATTACAGAAAGCATTATCAACTATAACTAGTTTAGCATATGCATGTTTCATGATTAGAAATCTTGTAAATTTGGGTCCACTATTGTCAAATATCTAACCTATTTAATTTTTTATTTGAAATTCTTTTTTTCCTCTTTTTTTTCCTACAGCCGAGTTCCATTAAAACTGATACTTGATTGGAAGGAATTGTTTTTAAATGGAAAACCAATATATGAGCAAGCCTCAATTCAACCCTTGCCAAACGAACCTAGCCCAGAACAGCTGGTAGAACTGAATAAACAGAGTCTGTTAGATGAAAAATATTATGGTGAATACAAGGTACACCAAACTGACAAGACATAATAGAAGATAATACACCTTGATTTTTCATAATCATAAACATTCTGTGGTGATCTTACATTTTGTTCTTTTGCTAGTTTCTGATTTTAGATTTTGACATGTTTTCATTGCCTGAGGTTATGGCTATATTTGATGTTAGTAGCACTGGAGAACTGGTACAATTTAAAAACCATTATAATTCTATCCTTATGTATAATCTTGATTATATTTCTCTCTTGATTTGTAGGACAAGCATGTTAATTGCAATGCAATGAATTTTCAGCTAATTAGAATTTGAAATTGTAGTTAATGCTACCAGGTTTGAAAATGCAACTAAAAGTAGCCAGTAAAAGCAAGTAAAATGAAATACTGTATAAGTTAAAAAATCTGAAGTCTTAATTTCAGCAATTTTGAGTGAAAACTTTCTAACAAGATTTATTGGTTTGAGTGATCAATTTATTTTAAGATAGTAATGTTTGTGAAAATTATTAAAAATCAGTCATTTTTCTTAATCTTCTATCAGAATGCAAGTAATTTTTCAGAGTAACTTAAAGCTTTTCTTCTATTTTACAATACATTAATGTAATTTCAAAACTGAAAGATGAAGGGTGAATGTTTCCCTGTTAAAATGTATTGTACAATTTTTTCAAAATTACATTAATGATGCTTTTCTTTAGGGAAAAAAATCCCGCTACGTACTTAGACTTTTCTAACAAACTGATAAAGAGAATGTGGCAAAATCATGGCAAATAACATGTCTTTGTCTTGTTGGGAATTTATAACTACATTTTCTATCTGCTTTTATCCGCACCCTGAGCCAATTGGTACATTTTCTTTTGCAATGAGTATAAATGTTTCCTACAAGTTTCTGTGATGAATACCTGACACCTCAATTTACTGTGACTTTGATCTTAGCATAGGTTTTCCTGATATATCTATTTATAAAGTATTTATTCACACCGTATCAACTCATGTAACAAATTTCTTGATTTTTTTTTTTGAGTGAAAAAGGCATATACATGAAATCAACAGTACGGATATACAAAAGAGGCAGGAAATAGTTGGCAGAGAGCACTAATGAGAAATCAAGTTTTTCAGTCATATTGTTGTTTGTATTACAAGCCTTCGTAGTTTTCCCTAGATGTAACATCACTGAAGGTCACAGACATTTATTGGCACATTTAAAGCCTCTTTTTCCCTGCCAGGCTCTTTCAGATGTGCATTCACATAATTAATTTATTCCCAGATGTTACTAGTCTTATGCCTTTCTGAATTATTATTCATCAAAGTCTGGTATTGTATGACATGTACAATTGTTGGCATCAGTTCATACTTATGTCTTCTAAAAACCTAAGTGAACAGCTAATACCTTCAAAATATTTCTACTAGATAAAAGTGTGTTGTCTTTTCAATTACCCAGTAAGTATGTTTTCTGTGATATGTTAGAGAGGAGATATTGTGCAACTAGAAAAGATGTTTTCATTTGTTTTTACTGATTAAAAATACGTTATATTTTCATTTAGAGTGATAATTGCATGACGTTTTTCTATTTAATACAGAAGTTCAAAGTCAACTCCTATCAAATTCTCTTTGAACAAAGTATGCTAACGCAATGCATCTAATGTCCAGAAAATATTGCTTAGTCTACCCAGAATATTAATTCAAAATATTCTGTTGGTAGAATTTTAAAGCTGTTTGCTTCTGTTGATGGTTAAATATTTAGTTTATAGAATGACACAATTGTTTGGGTTTGAAGGGGTGTGAAGGTCACACCTCTTTGCTTAGAAGTTCGCTTAAAGCATGGCAGACTTCTGAGTGAGACAAGGTTGCTCAGCACTTTATCTGGTCAGCTTTCAAGTATCTCAAGGATAGAGTTTCCACATCCTCTCTGTGCAGCCTGTTCCAGCGCTTAACCACTCTCATTGTGAACAATCTGTTGCTTGACTTTTTTCCTGCTTGGAATTTCTCTTGCTGAACCATTTGACTTTGCCTCTCCACCCTGTATTGTGCACCCCAAATGAGATGGTTAGCTAGAATCTAATTGGAAATATAATTAGTCTATGTGTCTTCCAAACAGCTGTTTAGTATCCTGCAACCAAATAAATATTAATACAGGACTAGTATTATCATGCATACTAAAATATCTGTTAGCTTCTCACAGTGTAAACTGCACATCCAGATTTTCCTAGTGCTATAAGATGCAGTACTGATGGAGTATATATTAGAGTGACAAAAGCACAATTCTGTGCTCCATTATTTTGACTACATCCTTCCATTATCTTTCTTCCAATGTGGCTATCAGTGAGAGGATCGTCACTAGCAAAAATCTCATTAAGCTGTATGCTAGTAACTCATACAACAGATGAATTTATATTGATCTCGGAGGAGATGCACTGGAAGTTTCGACTCAGTATTTCCTTCCCTTAAAATTGTTTGAATTGCTTTTGGATGTTTGGTTTGGGGTTTTTTCCTCTCTATTAAATGTGTGTTAGGCAAATACATGTATTTGACATCTTTGTCCAAAAATTTTTCAAGGATTTATGTGTGATACTGGTCAATAATGTTGCCCAGTTTTAGAATGCAGAATATTAGGATATTTGGCTTCTAATCCAGAAATCTGCTACTGGTATTGGTGAAATTGTTTTTCATGTTTATGGAATGAAAATAAATGATGATAGGAATCTCCATTGGGTTTGTGTGGCAACATTTTGGTAGCAGAGGGCTATAGAGGTGGCTTCTCTGAGAATCTGCTGGAAGCTTCCCCCATGTCTGACTGAGCCAATGCCAGCTGGCTCCAGGACAGACTCATCACTGGCCAAAAGCAGCCAGTTTTTGTGCAGAAGTAATTCTGGTCAGAGAAGAAAGGAGTGAGAATAAGTGAAAGAAACAGCTCTGCAGACACCAAAGTCAGTGGAGAATGAGGGGGAAGAGGTGCTCCAGGCACCAGAGCTGAGATTCCCGGCAGACTGTGGTGAGGCAGACAGTCACACTGCAGCCCATGAGGTCCACAGTGGAGTAGATATCTGCCTGCAGCCCGTAGAGGACCCCATGCCAGAGCAGGTGGTTGCCCAAAACAAGGCTGTGACCCTGTGGGAAGTCTATGCTGGAGCTCCTGGCAGGATCTATGGCCTGCGGAGAGAGAAGCCCACAATGGAGCAGGTTTGTCCTGAAGGACTGCACCCTATTGAAGGGACCCATACTGAAACAGTTCATGAAGAACTGTAGCCTATGTGCAGGACTCATGTTGGAGATGTTCATGGAGGACTAGCTACAGTGGGAAGGACTGCATGCTGGAGCAGGGGAAGGACTCATCTCTCTAGGGAGGAAACAGCAGCAAAAACAACATGTGATGTCCCAAACCCCCATTCCTTCTTCCCCTGGGAATGAAGTTCAGCCTTGGAAGGAGGGAGGGACAGGGGAAAGATGTTTTTAGGATTTGTTTTAGTTCTCACTCTCCTGCTCTGATTTTGATTGATCATAAATTCAACTAATTTCCCCAAGTGGCTCCTGTTTTGCCCATGATGGTAACTGATGAGTGATCTCTCCCTGCTCTTATCTTGACTCATGAACCTTTTGTTATATTTTCTCCCCCCTGTCCTGTTGATGAGGGGAGTCATAGAATAGCTTTTGTAGGCACTTGGCATCCAGCCAAAGACAAACCATCACAGAATCTATGAAAATGTTTGTGAGTACTTGTCTCTCAACTAGTTATTAAAGAATATCAATAAATATTTAATAGTTACAACATAATTATAGCTTTTAACAAGCTACAATTCTAAAACATGTTATTATTTAGTACTGTTCAAATTTGACTATTTTATGTATTGTTTGTGTATAAATACATATATCTAGGAATATGAAAGACAAGGCATATTGAGACATGATTTCCTAATTTGTCATTTATACAGAGTATGACAGGCGAATGGAGCCCAACTGAAGAGAACAGTGAAATCAAACCTCCTCTTAATAATAACATATTGAGTCATGTGCTTCATAGACTGATGGGGATTTTCTATTCTCCAACACCCAAACCTTCACCACCTGTATTTCCTCCATTTCCTATCAAAGGATGCATTTTGGGAAAAAATTTTAGTGGAAAAACTACCTGTGCAAAGTTTATTGAAAAAGGTAAGGGTTGTTTGTCTGTTTTTTACCTAAAAGTCTGTGAAATTTTTATTAATTTCCCACGCTTAAAATTGTTTGGGCAAATCCTTGCATTACTGATTCTTGAACCAAATGCCTCTGTATTTCCCAGGGGTTGGTTGCATGTCATTCCTTCATTATCTACCAAAATCTGATTAGAAACACCCAAACTTGAAAGTAGTGTTAATGTAGTATTCTACATTGAGAATTTGAAAATGCTTTTGTTAAATTTGATTGGGGATATTTGTTTTGGAAGAGACTAGCAGGATAGCTGTATGATTGTTGATACACACTGTGCAGTGGTTGCAAAAAAGAAAGGCTGGAAACAACTTACATTAAAAGCCCAAATGAAATAATTAATTTACTTGCCTGTAAGCATTTGTATGTATGCTCAGCTCAATACAGTAATCTGTTTTTTTGTGTAGTTTGCAATATTCAGGTACTGTCACTTGATATTCTGGTTCAGGAGGCCATCCAAGCTTTTCTGAAAAAAGAAATGAAAAGTGAACATGATGTGAATCCACATGAAGCAGAGAGTTCTGGGGAACAAAATGAGGTAAGCATTTTGCTTAGTTTTGATTTTGTCTCCAACAGGTAGATGAGAATGAAATATATATGGAAGAAAGCATGTTTCAATTTTTTACTCAATTTCGAACTTAAGTTTTGACATATAAGACTGCAAGAGTCAGCATGAATTGACTGCCTTGTTTTGTCTGTTATACATAGCTTCCTTTCTAATTAATTTCTTTTCACAATTGACACAAGGTCCAGGAGAACTTATCAAATTCACCATCAGAGCTTTCAGAGGAACAAAGTACCACAGGTAAGTTGTTCTTGAGTCAGACTTTCCTGTAAGTCTCAGGACCTTGGGATATCTCAGTCGTTTGCATGCCTCAGCAGGCCCACATTTTCCCTGGCCTTCCTTTTGCTGTGGAGATACCTGTAAAAACCCTTCTCATTGCTCTTCAGCCTAGACATAAGAAAAGGCTTTTCCCCATGGGGACAGTCAAGTATTGAATCAATTTGCTTGGAGAGGCAATGTAGTTTTTCAAAATCACACTGGGTAAACAACTAAGAAACCTGGTCTGACCTTATAACTTAAGCCACTTTGAGCAGAAGGTTGAACTTGATGACATCCAGAAGTTGCTTCCAATCTGAATCAATCAGTGATTGTAACGATTGCATATACCTTCTGTATTGATTTGTTCAAGGAATAATAATGAGCTATGTACTTTTATTAATGTCTATAGTGATAAATTTTATAGTAATGGAATTATCGAACTTTATTTCAGTACCTGTTTTAGGCAATTGTTCTGTCAGAAAGGATACTTCTGGGCAAGAATTTATACTGGATAACAGTCAGGATGGCCTATCAAAGGTTTGTAATCCAGTTTTATTTTTTACTTTATAAAGGGGCATTAGTTAAAATGATTAATTAGATGGTGATACCTTTTCATCATTGAATTTTAATGGAAGTCTGTTCATCTCTTGTTGAAGTTCTGCATCTTCTTGTTGAATCTCACATTTATGTAAGATAAGGTATTTTCTATGTCATTTCTGAGTTAGAGAAAAGGTTTTTCTGATCTTGCTGCTGCCAGGAAGATAATTCATCCTGTGGCAAGGTTTCTTTTCTTTATGTTAAAAATACTTAATTCTACTGTTATTTCTTTGACTTTATTGCTCATTGGAAAATATTTCGAAGGCTAAGATATAAAATAACCTCTGTAGAATTAATGCATTTATATGCTGCTGTAGCAAACAATCAGTGGATTTATGGTAGTGAAAATCAGAATAAACTTAGAGCCAGGACACTTAATTTTTTTTTATTTCTTGGCCTTCGTATTCTTTGTGTCTCAACCTGGTTTCTTTCTGGCATGTTTATGAGTGTAATGATGGAAATCATTTGGAGATTTCAATTAAACTGAGCTTTTTTTGCCATTAAAACTATTCTTCTTAATAGAAAAAAACGCCTACCCTATTAAATATAAATAGATAACAAAAAACATTAAATATGAATAAATAAATAGTATATCATGTGAAAAGTGGAATCATACTCTTTTTAACAATGACTACTGTGAGCATTCTGAGCATACATTGCACTCTTCCACAGCTATCTGTACGTGCCCAGCTTGGTGCCACATCACAGAAATGGTTGAAGAAAGGAGAGAGTATTCCCGATGAATTACTAATCGACATCCTATTGGAAGCCATTAAGTATGAGATTGTGTAGATTTCTTTCCTTAGGTATTTAGAACTTAATTATCCAGCCTGTAGTCCAGATTCAGCTGTTTCTCTTTATTGAGGTACTTTTTTTTAACACTGGAGTCTTCTGCTTGGAAAATGGAGCTAATTAATAAAGTTAGTTAATGCTCATTTTATGCTAACAGTAGAGCCTAGCCCTAAATTATACAGACATTATTGTGCACTACTGAACGTAAGTGAAAGTATACACATGACTATCTCACAGTCATTAAATTTAACTGATATCTCTATCACATGCTGATATTTTTTGGTTTAGATTTTTTGAAATGCATAATCCAAACTTTCATACTTCAGTTGTTACATTGTTTAGTTCTGTCTGCTCTTGTTTGACAGAAAATTGTCTCAACTACCCTGATGTGCAATTAGCACTAAAGTTCCCACATAAATATAATTTAAGTTATATTACTCCCATTAGTATCTTTTAGATACAAAACAGATTTTCTTATTTTTCACTTTAGTACAAAAGTGAGTTGAGAAAACAGTGAAATTATACCTCTGCTGAGCAGAGTCGCTGTAGAGAGTTATTCTGAAAACTTTATCAAGACAGCAAAAATTGTTTTGTTTCTGATTTTATTTCACTTTTAATTAGACTTGATGTTATTTTTTCTGATCTAAAATCCATTCCTTTACAGTTTAGGTTTTCATAATATCTGTCATATTCTGTGTTCATCAGAGGATCAGTGAATTAAGATAGAAAGACTGCTAGAGCAAGCTCTTCTTTAGGTGTTATTATTGTGCTATCAATTCACTGTATAATTCTGGTTCTTCATTTATTTTTAGCCAAATATCAGCAGAAAAGGGTTGGATTGTGGATGGATTTCCAAAGACAATTAATCAGGCAAAGCTCTTTGAAAAAGCCTATACCGGGATTGATCTAGAAGCAAAAGATACAATTTCTGGAAAGCTCTCACTTGTTACAGATCCCAAAGCCCTTAACAAGACTCCTGTTACCTCACCTGCATTTGATGTTTCTGTATTATTGGATATTTCAGACAGTGAGGCACTGAAACGTGCAGCTAACGTGATGTGTAAGTTTCCATCTACTGTTGACAAAGTTAAATGACAAGTAGGTACTTGTAAGTTGTAGTTACTAATGCAAAATAGAATTACTGCACAATTTCTCTACATCTCTCAGCATCACTTTTATTAATTGTGCCTTGAATACTTCCAAATTATTTCACATACTTCTGTTTTTTTCCAGTCAATGGTGGATCAGAAGTGTGCAAGTGCATGTGTATATGCTTTTTGTATTTGTATTGAACTCTCACTGGAACTGAGATGGTACAGTGACTGATGTTAGATATCACATAAAACAGCAGCTGGAGAAAACAGGAGTTACACAGATGCAGGAATATGCCTCATTATAAATAAGTGCATGGAAATAGTATTTTTCTCCAGAAGACACATTTGGAAAGGGATGAAGGAAATTATAAAAAGAAGGATGTGCCAACATTCCTTCCCTGCGAGTGCCAAAATTCATTCCGTATCGATTATTGCCTTTGTCTTGTTTTAGGTTACTCAGAGAATGAGCAGAAATTGTCAATTTTAGCCAGCCAAGGCAAAGGCATCAAAGGCTTTTTGAAGGCTGTTTCAATCCCAAATAACACATTTTAAATTGCCCTTATATATCTTGGCAAAAGATACGGGGTTTTTTTCAGGAGTATGTCCCATATTATCCATATTTAAGGAGCTCTTCTTCGTTGTTTTCACTGCAGTGGATCAGTGCATATACCTTGAATTAAACCATCATTTACATTTAGCTGTTATGTACAGGCAGGGGTAAGGATGAGACAAAATCTTGAGAGCTTTTGCTAGCAATGTAGTGAAGAAAAATGTACAGACACTTGAAATTCTTGTTAATTTTAAGACCTTGTGTTTCTAAAACACTTTGAACATGTGATAATACACAATATAATCTCAGAAATACAAAGAGAATTTCTTTTGTTAGATGTAATTTGGTGACAGAGTCAAAAAAAAACAATAAAAATTCAGAAATCTTTAAAAATGGCTTATTTTTAAGCAATTAAAGGGTTTTTTTAAGTTAGAGGAGGCTCAGCAGACAATACCTTGTCTTTTGGTGCAGTGGGATAACTGCTTATCATGAAAAGAATCAAGATTCAGATGACACTGGAAAAACACCTTCTAGCTGGTAGAGTAGATAAGTCTGAAATAGTGTGCCCACAGGAATGCTCCATTTCTTCAACTAGAGATTTCTATGACTGCGAAGCATCTATTAGGAAACATTAGTGATATAACTGGTTTAATAGGTTATGCTTTTAAACAGAGGAAGAGGCAAGACAGTGTCTTCACATTCTTTACAGCTTAATTTTATACTTCTGTGATGTTCTCTGACTTTTCCTTTCTTTTATAAAGTTTGGTACCCCATTTTTGAGTGAAGAAATGTAAGATCAAGGAACACTGAAATTTTTCTTAAAATAGTTATCTTACTTTGGTCAAATAATTACCTGAATAATTGCCTTTTTCAATATATGCTCATATATGTTGTTTTCTGCACAGCAGATAAATCGAAGGCATCTCAAACTGTACAGGAGAATAGCAATCAAAATTCAGGTGCTGAAATCCTAGAAGACAAGTTTGACTTAGCCAAAGACCAGGTGATACATAGGTATGGTATGTGAAGTGCAAAAAAGTTGCTTCAGCCAGATGTTTAGGCACATAACTAACCTGAATCTCATTTGTGATCCGTGATGGTACTGACATGCCTAATGTTCAGATTTTACTTAGGAGTTGCTCATATGGAGCCTAAAGGATGTTTTCATTCCTGCACAATATAAATAATTCTAGAAAATAAGAATTCTTGTATTTTGCTTTTCCAGAGTATTCTGCCAAGGGGAAATTATTTTTCAGATATATATTCCCTGAACTATATCTATACATGTATGTGTATGTATGTATCGATGTGTAGACATTTATTTGTGATATGTCACAGATGATGTCATTGCCTTTGGCTGAAATACACTTGATTTGAATCAAAGATTTTCTGAAAAGTTATTTTCTACTTCTACATTTATACAAAACAATTAGTTTTCTAATTGTGATTGAATCGCTAGATGTGTTTCTAAATATTTGCTACTATTAAATACTTCAGACTTGTTTATCATTATCGATTTGTTTGTGACAATAAAAAGTGACAAACATGTAAGACTAGTTACCAGTAAGATCTTGAAGTGTTCGCTGTCTTTAAAAGGAAGGGGTTAACATGGATAGGGTTGTTCTAGCACTAAATTAGCTTGTCTGCTTTTCTTTTGTTTATTAATTTTAGAAAATGTTTGATTTCCCTTTAGTTAGATTTTAATTTCATACATTAATATGTTTTTTGTAGAATTTCAGGCTTTCTTGACACATGGCCAAAATTAGAGAAATGGTTTTCAGTCCATCAAAATACTCTAGTGAAAGTAAATGCAGAGACAGAAGAAAATCTTGTGTGTGAAGCAGTGAAGGAAATTATTACAGAAGAAATTGTAAAAAAGCAGAGTAGAAGTAAGTTTTCCTGTTCTTACTTTCTAGAATTCAGTAACAACAGACTTTGTTCTTCATAATTTGCACTAATAATTACTATGTAAAACTATACAGCAGCAAACATTTTTGCTGCCCCTGAAAGACTTTGGGGGTGTTAGTGACAACTGCACTAGAACCTTGAACCTTTCTGTTGTGTTTTTTACCTTTTCAGAGAATATGGACCAATTTCACCTAAAAGTTAAATTAAAGCATTAAATTCAGTCCTTTCTTCCTGGTTAAAAAAGTTACAGCTAACATCTTCATCCTATGAGATATGGTATATGGTGCTCCATTAGCATAATGGTATAACAAAGTCTAACATGCCATTATCAACATATATTCATTTATCAACAGCAGCATAAAAATATGGATATTTAGGAGTGTTTTTGACATGTATTTCAGTACATCTTTATTCCATTTTTCCTCTTAATCACCCAGAAGGAAAGAATCATTTAAAACTATAAAAAGGGAAAATTGTGAAGTATTCAGGGGAATTAATGCATCAAGTAATCCAGTATTAGTAGACCTCTGAATAACCAGGGTTTTTCTTCATATATATTATGAAAAAGTCTTGATGTGTCTTCTACTACCAGAAAAAAAAAAGGACTAACTTGAAAAGTACTCAAACCAGTGAAAGTCTATCACACTACTCCTGTGCAAGGTTTCTAGTTCATGAAAAAATCTTGGAAATATCACACCTGACAGAAAATTGGATGGAGTACTTTCAAAAGACTACCTGGTTGGAACTGTGTTTTTTATGTGCTTGATATAATTAATAGCTCTGCTGGAATCAATGGCAAAATTCCTACTGATGCAAATGGAGGGGAGATTTTCTAGTTAGAATCCAGCTATTGTGTAGAAGTACTGTAAGGGCTATATACTCCTTATGGAGAAATAATCCCTGTGGTCAATTAAGAATGTTTAATTTCACATTTTTATGTTGATAGCTCCCAAGTTGTCCTTCACTATTAGGTTCATATAAGCAGAACAGAGGTATGAGAATGTATATTAATTATTCCAGGCATCAGTAGCATTCTGGGAGTAACATGGTAAAGGTAAATCCAGAAACTGGTTCTCAAAATATTTAGCAGAAGTGAATGTTTTATGTGACCTATAACTTTGTTCTGTTTATAAACTTATATCAGAAGAATGATAGCAGTTTTACCATTCAAGCACCCAGCAGACAGGGGTTTTCAGAAGCAGATTTGTCACACTTAAATAAAACAGAACACGTCTATTCTTTGAATGCTAAGCTGCTTTCAAGCAAAAAAGACAAGCCTGTTGCAACAGTGGTTTGATGCCAGCCTGTTTATTTTCTTTGAATATTTTCAAATCCACAGCAAAACTGGCCAGAATTCACACACGTTTCTGAGCAGTTAATTAATGTAACTTATAAATCTAGTTGTTGTAGGATCCTTCTCTGGTCACTGAGCAGGAGCTGATGTATTTCCAGAGGTTAGTTGAAATCCTAGGGTTGAGTCGTGCTCTGAACTAGCTAACTACATTCATTACTATTTTGATAAATTGTAGTTTAACAGGTTCTTTCTCCATTAGATGGTCTTTTCTGTCGCTGTCTTTTTTCTCATCCATCGTCTTTCATAATTCTCAGCTTCTCCTCAGAGTAAGGGGTATCTTCCATTTTAGGCTTTATCTCAATTTATCTGTTTCTTCTCCTTGATTCACTCTTTGCCAAGTCTAGCATGAAAGCTGTAGGTGTTTACAGCTGTTATTTAATTAAGCAAGGAGTCCTTGAAATCTTGGTAGTTACAATGAATCTCAGAATTGTATCAACACTATTGGCCTCGGTTTACCTGGTAAAGAATTTGTTTCATGTCTACTAATTCATCATCTTCCCATTTCTCTCATAGTGATGGTTTTAGAAAAGTATCAGCCCTGCAAAATATAAACTGAACTGGAAAGTGATTTTATAACTATGGCATTGCTGATTTCATAAGTATATTTTTTGATGAACAACACCTAAGTAATGAAATAGTTCTGTTATTTTGAACTTGTCAGAGTAGTAGTTATCTGATTTTTTATTGATACTTAAAATACATTTGAAGGTACTAATTGTACATTCATGTTAATGGTCCACTCAAGAAATAGCAGCAGAAGAAGAGTTTTTACCAGTTACAGATCAAGATGTGCTTCCTCCCTGTCCTGTGACACCACCACCACCTGAGCCAGGATCGGATGAATGGATTTATGTGGACGAACCACTTCCAGAGGTACATTAATTCATGATTAAAAGTCTTAAATACTGAAGTATATATATTTCTTAGTATTTTATGCTTGTTCTACCTAAACCTTTTGTGTAACTGCATGTTGTTTTCTTCAATGTTTTTCAATGAAAGATGTGTTAGGACTGTGTGATAAATATCTAAATATACAAATAACAGCTGCTACTAAAGTATATAAAATAAGGAAACATACTTTAAAACTTTAGTCTTCTTTTTTTCTGAATTCCTCACGATGGTGATGAAGAACACAGATGCCACAATAACAATACTTTTTACTATTATGAAATACTAACATAGACTTACTAGACCAGTTTTGTGTCTCTGACAAGGATCAGTTGTGCATCTGATATGAAGAGTAAGATTGGGGAGAGTGTGCACTAATCTTTCTCCTAGGATACTTACTTCCGAACATGTTTTCCCCAGAGATATCTTCCTAGATTTCAATGATCTGAAATGTAGGGGTTTCCTGAAATAGCTCTATATCTGCATCTTGTGTTTAGTAGCTCTAAATGGACTTTTCTACCATGATTATGTCTAGTTGCTTTTTTGAAGCAACTTACTTTTTTGTTCTTTATGACATAGCCTGTATAATTATGTTCATTCTGAAAAAATATTTCTGTCTCTTTGCCTTAAACTGTGTTCTTTGCTTGGATCATTTGATGGCCTTAATTCATGTGTTGTGAGATACAATTAATAGTAATTCTATAATCACCTTCCGAAGACATTTAAAGTTTGACAGGCATCTCTGAGATGTTCATTTTGTTCCAGATTGCTTTTCTTTTCCAGTCGAGTTATAAACTCTACCAGTTCGCCTATAAATGTTATTTACATTTCAACACAGTCCCTCAAATGTCACTTTTGCAACACTACACAGTCAGCATAGATTTTTACCAGCTTGAACAGTTATGAATGCCCGAATTTTGATACTTAAGTACTCACTCAGTATCATCACTTAGTTTATGAGCATATCCAAAACCACAGATACTGGAATATTCTGCTGGAACTTCCCATTCCTTTTGGAATTTCCAAAGAAATGTACAGGCTAAATCTATATGTTGGTAAAGTGTCTATAATCAGTTGTAAATCAAAAGAAGCACATCTTCCATGTATTTGCTAATTATACAGTGAAATGAATTACTAAGCAAGATATGAATTAATTTTGATGTTTTAAAAAAATTCACAGGAGATACCTGGTTTTCTAGTACCTTACTGGGAAATGGTAGAAAATGCATACATGAATGGCATCAAAACTGTACTTAGATGTCTAAGGGATGAACAGTACACTATGGTTCACTACATAGCAGACATTAGGTGAGTAGAAATAGGAGCTTATTACAATGATATTAGTATTTTGAATTTTTCCTGTGTCATTCTATATGTCTTTTAACACCAAAATTTCTTTTACCATAATTTACAGAAAAAAATTCCAAGATTATCTGAAACGTCCAGACCTTAAGCAGGAGTTTGTATCTCAGTGGCAAACAGATTTTAATTCAATTGCTGATGACCTGCGAGATGACAAGGAAACAAAAGCAGAACTACACCAAAGAGTTACTGTAAGTAAATGGCAAAAGTTACGATATACTCTAAACTAGTGTTTCATTGTATACAATCTTGATGTAGCACAAATGATATTATTATTTACTTTTCCCCCCTATTTATCACTTCTCTTAAACTACTTAATTTCCTCTTGTGCATAAAGTGTTATTGACAATTATTTCTCTGTTGTTTGGCCATCTCTCTCTTATGTCTTGCTTCACTTTTTAGGTTGCACTGTGGGATTCTGGCACACTGTAAAGTCAATATTTTTCTGCTCTCTTTTTCTTTACATAGTGCTGTCATTAGACATAGTCACTGGTTGAAGAGCCCTTAATTAAAAGAATGTTACAGAAAAATGACACAGATACTATCCAAATCGGAAAGATTCTTGAAATCTGACATAAATTTCTCAGAACTTTTCATATAGCACATCCCCTTAATGTATTAGCAAACCTTTCAAGTGCAAAGTTGTTGGTGCATTTGGGAGCTTAGCTGTTCATAGTCTCATATTTGTCTAGCTTAGATAGATCCTCTCTGCCTGAAGAAAGCAAGACAGGCTACACATGGAACTCATATCTTTGTATTCTCTCTAGCACATTTGTAAAGCCACTTTCTGTCATCTGTCTATAAGCACGTGAGTGGACCAGGTTCTGATATTTATAGCAATAAAGAAAAAAGCCCTAAATGGGAAGATAACCTATGCACATGCAAAAAGTAAAATAATGATAAATATAAAATAGTTATTTAAGTTTTCTTTAATAGTTATCTCTCTTACTTGATTCTGTGTTTTAGGACCTAAGAGATCTTCTCTGGGATATCTGTGATAACAGAAGGAAAGAAGCAGAGCAGGAGCATACTGTTATAATGAATGATGGCTGGTTTCCAGATCATAGGGGTATTACAATGAACCATTTCTTTTCACTTATGCAGGTATGGACTATTACATAGTCTGCAATGGAAGAGGATAGTGAATTAGATTTGGAGAACAGTAAACTTGAGAAAAATTTTATATGGTTGGCTCCAAATATGGGAGGGATTGAGAATTAATTAAGCAAATGTTTGTGTACGTTCTGAATATATCTAGAAATTTAAGAGACAAAAAGTGGATGACAGTCCATACATTTAACTTTGGCAGGCAGAAAAGATTAAGAAAACTACCATTGTTGTTGTCTAACTTCCAAAATTTTCTGTCACTATTGTGTAGTGCTACTTTTTGCAGTTTTATCACTCCAGTGAATCATATGAGTTTTCTAACACAAATGATACAGTTGTTTATCCTTCTGTGATCTTAGTGACATGTCCTTTTAATTTTAAAATTACCCAATTCACTGCTGTTGTGTACCCACTTGATGTTAAGGTTGTCCTGTATTTCCTATATCTCAAAATTATTTCAGTTGTAACTTCACCAGTGTGGCTTGAAATTGTACCTGTGGAATGAAAAAAAATCCCAAACAGTGCATACATTTTGTTTAGAACTGGACCTGAATAGACTAATCAGGCTTTTCTGTAAACTAAAGTGACCATTCTGTGAAAGTTTTGGCCATTTTTAAGATGACAGCAAAAACAATGCATTAAACACATGCCTTAAGATGCTGATTTAGCTGAAAAAAACCCCAGGCCTAAGCACTTTAGGGTGGGCTTCCTGCCTTTGGTTATCTGCCTTATTTTTATTTGTTTAATAAACAAGGGAACCACGGTCTAATCTCATGTGAGCATTGTGGTATTTTAAGTAAAGTTGGTGAAATAGTCAGTTGCTATAGTAAGGAAATTGTTAGCATTGTTTTCTAAGAGTCTAAAATAATGGCCTAAACAAAGACTTAAGGCGACTGACTACAGAGAGAGGTTGAAATATCAAATAACTGCTGGCTACCTGAACCACATTCATCCTGTAGTTCGGGTATTTGTAGGACTGAATATTTTAAAAATCCATCTTGAATTGTGTACATAAAGGAGACAAATTTAAGTAATATTACTGAGCTTACTTTTTTTCCTTTGCAATCCTAATTCGAACAGAATTTCATGAACATGCATGATGCAGTCCAGAGGAGATTCGCTATGGATCTAATTTGATCTGTCTTGTGTGAATATGCAGAATAATTTAAAATTACAAGCACATGTATTAACCATATGTAAGCTTTTATTTCACACAGGAAAATTAAAAGGAAATTTTTTTTTATATTATTTATTTTTTTACTTAGTGTATATTTCCCCAAATAAATAAATTTTAACCCTAAAACTGCAGAACTGGAAATACAATAAATATGACTTTATGTAATAACTTTAGTTTTTTAGAAGAAGCCAAAAATAGGCTTCTTTGGTACTGAGCTCTCCATCTGTGGGTTTTTCTGTTGAAAGTTACATGTATTCCCCAGGTGGTTCTGTAACTGTGTAAACATAATGATTTGTATAGATGCCGTTTATCAGATTTCATTCCACCTTGCTGTGTACACGCTGTTGTACTAGAAGATATTTCCTCCTTAACTTATGGATAAGTGCTGGTTTACACCACAAAGGTTTTATCCTTTGTTTTGTGAATGTGGTTTTGTGCATTTTCCCATGAATATTTAGTACTGTTTTGTCAGTTAGAGCCTAACACCATACTGTATCAATAAATCAAAACATGACAGGTGTTAATGTTTCTTGAATCTTACTTGATTTCTTCCAAGATTACTCACACAAAAAAATGTTCAACACATTTAGGTGTGTAAAGGTTGTTGATTTCTTTGGTCAGAAAAACTGTATGGCCTTTAAAATTTTCTCCATCACATAACACTTTTCATTTTATGGTATTAAGGATTTTGTTTCTTTTGAACAAGCATATCCATGTTATTTGTTGGGATTAGTATACTTGCTACTATAGAAATACGTATACATTAAAATATACAGTATTTAAATTTAATGCATCAAACATTATTTATTGTAAATACTTTTTCCTATTTTAACAACAAAGATACCTATTACTCCTTGGAAATAAAACTGTAAATACTATATAGATGCAGTAGAAGTATGCTTTGAGCACAGCATAAACTTCCAAACAAATATGGTTATGTTTCTTGCTCACCCTCAGTTTCCTTGGATTTAGAATTGCTTCTGCTACCATGTATTTAAAAAGATAACAAAAATTTGTTCTGTCCTCTTTTGAATTGCAATCTTTGTGTCCTTTCTTCTTGAGGCTGAAGTGGATCATTTCCAAGACACAAAGAGACTTCTTCGTGACTATTATAGGGCAATGGAAGGAAAAATCCCAGCAGAAGACCGTCAAGATTTTACTAAAATCCCATTGTTAGATATTATTGATACAGAGAAGATGGAAGATCAAAACAAATCAATAAGGTAGAAATTCATTTTTAAATGATGCAAATATCAACAAATACAATGCACTCATAGCTTTGTGGCTATATGTGGAAATATATGTGTGTGTATTTCAAAGGATGGGGAAGTAAGCATTTTTAACTAGGGAATATAGTCAAACAATGAATCTTAGATCATCTTATAGATAAAATCTATCCCTGAGTTTTTGCTTATTTACCTGTATGACTTTGACTAATTTATCTCTGAATTACAAAACATTTTAAAACCTGCCTTAGGAAGAAATCTACTATAGAAGTGTTTCCTACTTTCCTCTAAGTTGCTAATAGTTTCCAGCACAATCCACTCATAGCTAAGTTAAAATATTTTTGTGGAGCATTAGCAGGTTTAAAATTTATGCCAATAAACATAATTAAATGTGTCATATAATGACAAATGTAAATTAAAGCAACCTACAAAGGTGCACAGAGCTGAATGCCACATTAAAAGGTAAGGGATACCATCAAATAATGTCACAATATAAAAGATGCTGTCAATAATGACACCTGCTTTTTAACATACAGTGCATTTAGAAATTGTCTGAGTGGTGAAACTGTGCTTCTAACCCATGCGGAATTCAGTAGCAGCTCACACAGTCATTTGACATAGTTTTAGCCTTCTGTTACCATAGAATCATAGAATCATCGAATTTAAGGGTGGGAATGGACCTTACAGATCATTTAGTCCCAACCCCCCTGCCATAGGCAGAGACACCTCCCACTAGACCAGGCCACTCAAGGCTAAATTATTCCTTAACTTTTATAGTTAAACTGTGCAGTTTTCTTGTCATATACCCACTTCAACACTTTTGCTCACGAGGAAAGTTTCTCTCTTTTCTTTTGCTGTTGTAAATTTTAAAAATAGCATTCTCATTCTTTCTGCATATTCTCCTTTAGAGTTATTAACACATTTTATAAAGAGACATGTGAAGTATTCCTTATATTTTATTTTTGAGGATTCCTCTGGTTCCTTGGAAAATGCCTTCAGCAGAAATAGGTATGACTGAGCCAATAAACAATGGGACTCTGCAGGAGAGTGCTGAGGATAAGAATTCTGAAAATGGAGCGGCCACCTTCAGGAGTGACAAAAATCTTATTATTGATACATGGCAAACAGCAGTAACAGCAGTATCAAATATGGTAAAGAATGTTTCATTTACGTAAACTTTGCTGGATTGTACAGTCAAAACCTCCCATTCAGTAGGCAGCCTAATCATCATCTTTGCACTGTGTATCTCATTTTCATGCCTCTTTCTCCAGTGCTGATATTTCCATTAAATATGCTTATATTTCTATGAGGAAGATGTTGGAATCTATCTAGTATCAGCACCTCCGTATTTATAACTAACCCTTTCATTCCATTACTGAGAGAAATACTTCGAATGTTGCCTCTATAAATCTACTTCTTCTCATCCCTCAATAAAAGTGTGAGAAGATGGACAAGTTTAATCTTGTGATGCAGTGTTTGCTCAAACCTTTTACAACTTCAAAAGCTATGGTTACATTCTTTTTTCTGTGTAGCTAAAAGTGAAACAGGTGAGCTTGTTAAATGTCTGCTTTCTGGGTTTGATTTTTCTTTTTCCTCTGGTCATTTAAAAATAAGTGAACTTCTGCACCTTTACCATGTAGCTGTAGACTTGCTTTGTATACTCTTGATTCTTGCATTTCTCACATTTTCCTTGAGCACAGGTAATGGTTACAAGAATTAAACCCACTGCCTCTGTGTCTTGCATTTTTGAAGTAGAAATTTATTTTGATAATCAAATTTAATCAGTTAAAATAGCTTTTTTGTTTTATTTATGTGTGTGCTTCTCAGCAAGTACTTTCAGTGAGTATAAGCTGTTTAAAACAGTAGTGGCACAGGGTGCATACTATATACTGTACTATGTCTGACTGTCAAGGTAATGGCTGAAATACAGTTTAGAGAAGAGGAGGAAGAAAAGGAACATCAGCAGCGAAAGCGCAAAGAAAAGAAAGCTTCACAGACACGCTCAGGCAAAGCTACTGGGAAAGATGCCAAAGGTGCCAAAAAGCATTCTGCCAAACCAGCTACTAAAAAAAAAGGTATTTAAATGCAGGCTTTGTTTTAGCAGTGCTTGAAATTACTGAAATGTAAATATGTAATACAGAAAAGAGTAAGCCAAGACATTTAAGTTGGATTTAATGTCTCTTTTGAAATGTCAAATGTGACATAACAGTATGAAAAGCTGGTGGTAATGAAGGAGTGCAGAGGCTTTTGAGTGGCAAATGCATTTATTTAGTCATATGTGTTGTCATTTTATGTAGGAGGAAATATTCTAAATGGAATGCAGAGAGGAAATACTAGTTTTTCTCTGTGTGCTGTACTGGAATGGAACAATTACAACTAGTTTATCAAATTAAATAAAATTCCATTAAATTCTGCCTACTTGCCATCAATGTCAAAATATTTGAAAAATGTTTTAATATTATTAATATTTCAAAATATAAATGTTCAGGAAATTTCCTGTCTGACTATACAGGAGCCACTCTAAGCTGGGACCAAGGTCCCTTCGCAAAGAGTGTCTCCAGTGAGCGGTGCCCTGCACACCCCACACACAGTGAGACCAGCTTCCTTACCAGCTCAACCTCAGGTCGAGCATAGCAGAGATTCAGATGTCCACATCCTTAAAATAATTTAATCATGCTGCAACAACAGAATAGCAGCTTGAGCTGGTGCCTTCGAGTAGGGACCCCGAAAAAAGCACTGCCCAGGCTTTCTGTACCGCCACAGTCTAAGCACACAAAAATCTGGGGTCATCATCTCTTGCTGTGACTCTGAGTGTCCTGTCACCTGGCCAGCACCACAGGGCCCCAGGCTCTCTGTTACGCGCAGGGTCAGCCCCACTTCATGGCTTCTGGCCTCAGGCTCCTGCCACCCAGAGCTC